ATACTAATAATACCAAGTCAGAATCTTTAGTGGGGTGGAGAGTTGATCCCAAATAGCCCCAACTTCTAATCAGAACTCCCTTTTGCCAGCCAAGAACAACAGGGGAATGGTTCCCACTTGTTTCCATTTCCGGGGATGATGACAACATAAGCTTTCTAGTGGTCAGTCCTAGGGACTCCCACTCATACTGAAAGGGAGTCCATCTTGTGGTTTAACCTCAATCCCTTCTTAATCAATTCTTCTTTAACTGATTTCAGGAAGACCTCCCTTAGGGAGATTCAAGTTGATGAAGTACCTGTTTTCACTCAGAAAGTGTTTGACGTCATGAACATAGACACATGCACTTTGGACAGAGAGAGAATAGGAGCTTCCTGTGATGGGGAAAAACTGACATTGACTGGTCTTGAGGGAGGAATTATTCCACTCAAGACCTAGCTTGTTCTTTGTAGTTGTGTAGCTGTAAATGAGGGAACCACTTCTTCCTGGGCATCTCCTCTCTCAGAGTTAAACAGCTCTTCTCATTGTCTAACTTCTCATATCATTGTCAGGAACTAATGCCAGCCTTTTCTCTCCTGCACCCCTTACAAACTGGGTGACAAGCCACACAACTTTGTAAAGGCTTCAATGTTGTGACTACCTGTGAGTAACTCTAGCCTGAGAGAACAATGAAGTTAGTGGGGTTTTGGAAAATCCTATGTGCAGGCAACTCTGAAGCTCTAGTAGCATTTCTTCCATAGCTAAAGGCCTGAAGGTGTCCCCAAGGAATCATTAGCCAAGGCGAGGACTGGAACAGAAGCTGACTGAGGTTTTGTGGAGCCTCCACTTCATGAGATCATTAAGGAAGAGAAAGGAGGCTCGGTTGAGTTGCTTCCTTCCAGGTAGTCAGCTGGATTCACGACCTCAGAGCCTTTCAGTTTGGACCACAAGATAAGCTGAGACCAGGGGCAAAGGATGGGCCATCCTCAGTCCAGGAGGTAGACCTTGGCAGCTTTGAGAAGAAGAGCATTTTTTATGGGCTCCCCAAGCAGGGCCTCAGGTGCCAAGTTCTCAAGGCAACTTGTGGCACTTGACCATTGGCATGGCCAGAGGGAGAATGTGTCTACCCCTATCAAGACATATACAGGGACATAGTAAAGTCAACCACAGAACCAGAGTTCTTTGCTCAGCTGCTTCATACTGTGGGACTCATGAAGTTGGTAGATGTATGCAGACTATGCAGTTTGAGTGTTCCGAATATCTGGACCTGTCTACCTACCTCCATCCCTTTCTATGTGCCTATAAGATTCCTTACCCTGACCTGAAACAGAATCTCTCCCTCGATTAGTCAATAAACATGACCACACTTCCCAGATAGTTTCTTTCAAAGGGCTCCCTATTATCTAGGACACCCTTCAGAAGAGCTTCTCAGATAAGCTCTGATCCTGACCCACCGAGCCTGGACTGAGGGGTAGAACTGGGGGTTCCCAGCTGGAAATGTTGCAGTGTGCAAGAAGTCATAGCTCCCAGTCCTGGAAAAGAGGCCAGGGGTCCTGTGAAAGTTATCAGAGTGATGGATAGGAAATAATAATGATAGCAGCTACCATTTATTGACCAGGCATTTACTACTTATCATGCACCAGGTAGGAGCTCTGGTGGTATAGTGCCTAAGGCATTTGACTGCTAACCAGAAGGCTGGAGGTTCAAACCCACCAGCTATTCCTCAGAAGGCAGGTTGGGCAATCTACTTTCGTAGTGATACTGCCTCAGAAATCCAAGGAGGGATTCCTATGAGTCAGATCCACTCAACAGCAGTCAGTTTGGTTTTGTTTTTTTTAATGCACCAGGCATTATGCTAACACTTTACATACATTCTCTTTTATCCTTACAGTGTTCCTGGGTATGTTTTATAATCTCCATTCCAAATACAAAGGAAACTGAAACATAGAGAGGCTGGGTAACTCATCAATCAGCTTATAAATGGCAGAGTCCAGGCTTAAACCCAGAATTGTCTTATCCTAGAGTCCATGCCATTGACCACTAAACCACAGAGAAGAAAGAAATATATTTCTGAAATGGGCACCTTGATGTTAAAGTTGTGTTTCATAAGGGTGCCTCAGGTTAACAGAGGTACACACACCCCTACATACTCTATATACTAACCCCCTGTCACATTCTTTCACACCCCTCAGGACATAGCTGTCTCCAGGCCAAACACTTCTTATATTCGACATTTAAACCCATCTACCATCTGGCCTCAGACACCCTCCTCTCCCCCTCCCCTCACCCTATTCCCTATTTTTTCAACCAAAGTTCACTGCCTGCCATTTCCCTCATATCCACTGGCCTTCCTTCCTTTGTGTCTTTGCTTATACGGTTCTCTCTGCCTGAATTCCACTCCTCTCTCTCATCTCAGCACATCCCATCACTCACCATTCTTCAAGGCCTAATCAAGGTGTCATCTCCTCCAAGAACCTGCCTTGACCTCTGGACCCCAGGACCTATAGTAGACACTCATTCTCCTGCCAAACTCACATGGCCTGATGTCCCTCCAGTAGAGCCAGACCCCCTGCAGCTTTGTGGTAAGATCCTCTGTGGTCATGGCTGCTCTGCCTGAGGACTTCATCTCCTTGCACACTCTCCACATGCTTCCTGATGGGTGCTCAGCCAAAAGTTGCTGCCTACCTTGAATTGACTCTCAAGACCCACTGTGGGCTAAAAAAGAGACATGGTAACTGAGACAGAACTTTCACTTTTCATAACTATATCAACGTATTGGAGATAAAGAGGGCAAGGAGGAAGATCTGGTGGAAAAAAAAGCCCCCCTGTCTTCCCCTTCCCCTGTAACTACTAACTCTCTCTGTAGAGAAGTCCTGGGTTGTATCTGAAATCTCTCATGTTTCATCCCTTTTCTCTCTGCTGAGTTCCAAGGATAATAAAGAGGACAACAGAGAGTATGTTTAGCTGGGATGAGTCAGGATTAGTACTAACATTCTGGGGACGACTGTAGTCTAGAGGTCAAAACTTTTGACTCCATCCCTTTCAGGTTGTGTTCCTAGCAGGCATCTCACCCATCTCTCTAGATTGCAGATTATTAATATGGAGAAAGACTGATCATCAGCTTCCCTGGTGTCTGTGATAGCACATAAAGTCCTCTCCATCTCCTCATGAAATCCAGACAGAGATCCAAGCAAGCATCATGGAAGTGTCTCTAAACATCTAATTTAAATCATTCATGCTTCAGGGTCAATCCATTTCCTCTTGTGGGGAAGATGCTAAGGGAAGACTTCTCCAACCCTAGTATTTCCAGGAGGGGAAAAAAAAAATGGAGCAAAAATATACAGTCCTAAAGCCAAACATGGGAGCTCTGGTAGCATAGTGGCTAAGACACTTGCCTGCTAACCAGACGGCTGGCGGTTCAAACCCACCAGCCACTCCTCGGAAGGAAGGTTGGGCAATCCTACTTCCGTAGTGATACTGCCTCGGAAACCCAAGGAGGGGTCGCTATGAGTCGGGTTTGACTCGACGACACATAACAACAACAACAACAAAGCCAAACATTAGTCACAGTCAGAGATTGCAGCTGAGGATAGATGCAAAAGAGCTGGGCTCCAATTTTATCTACAGAGGATGGAACCAAAGCTGGGCTAACACTGCAACAAAACAGACCAAAAAAGTTGGGCTGAACCAGAGGGATTCAAGCCTACCCATGAGTATCTGGAAAGGGTGGCAAAGGGTGCCACATAGCACTCCCTGAAAATGAGATACCAGAGCCAGGGCTGTCTGTGAAAAGCTCTGAGCCCCAGGACTTAACTACCATTTTCACAATAATACTCACTGACGTCCAGTCAGATCCAACTCATAGCGAGGTTTCCGAGGCAGTATCACTATGGAAGTAGATTGCCCAACCTTGCTTCTGAGAAGTGGCTGGTGGGTTTGAACGACCAATCTTCTGGTTAGCAGTCAAAATCTTAGGCACTGTGCTACCAGAGCCCCTTTCACAATAATAAGGTACATTTAAAAGCAGAGGAAGGTAAGGGTGTTTTGCATGCTTCTCTTTAAGGCTGGCTGCTGAGTGCATGCTCTGAATTTCCTCACTGATAATTGGACATATAATCAACCTCCTTTATGATGGGTTGTGGCCCTTTAGAGCTACTGGCTATGGCCAGGCCCCAGCCAAGGAAAAGCTTTGGATCAAGCCAGTTTTTCCAAAAGTCCAGAGCCCAGAAGTTGGTGCTCCTACATTAGACCTCAGCCCTCACTCAGCCCCCAAAAAATCAGACCATGGGAAAGTCTAGTGTGGAGGAGGGCTGGGAAGCCTCCTTTCAGATTCTTATTCTGACCCGCCATTGTTTGTGGCCTTAAACAAGACACTAGACCACTCTGAGATGACTTCCCTAATCTGGGAAATGGGCACAAGAACACCCAACAGAGAAGGCTGTCCTGGGGGGGAGACAAAAGCATGCTTTATACAGCTATTAGCACAGTGCTAGGCACATTGCAGGCTCCATAATGCAGCCCACTTCCTCCTGCAAACAGTGGGGAGGGTTTACAGGAAGCATTTGGGGGATGGGGAGGAGACTTACAAGCAGAGACATCTGAACTAAGTCCTGAAAAAGAGAAAAGGGAAAAGAAAGGTTTTGCCTAAAGGGTGGCAAGATGGATGTCAAATTAATAGCAAAATAAACAGAACAAGCAAATTAGTAAACAAACATAATGAAGTTTTTATTAAGTGTCAGCCAAGGTCCTAAATGCTTCCCAATCCATTAACTCATTAGGTCCTCCCAACAGTTCTCAGATGAGTGCTATTATTATCCCCATTCTGCAGATGAGGAAACTGTGGCTTAGAAAGGTCAGGTGCCCAAGGTCAGGACATGAACCTGCAGGACTAACGTTAGAGGCCCTTCCTTAGCACAAATGCACACACGCACATACCTTCACCCACACACACACCGTGCAGAATGCACAGATAATGAATGAAGGCCAAGCTTCTTCCCCAGCTGTCCTGCCCAAGGACGGAGCCAATGACCCAGCCCTCCGCGGGGATCCCGGGCAGAGTCCCGCCGGAGGGGAGTGGCGGTCCTGCCCTCCGGGGTCCGCAGCCCACAGCGCGCAGAGCTTACCCCGAGCTTCGCCACCCCATTAAGCGCGGGCAGGAGGTGAGCGCAGTTTTATGGGGTCGGCCCGGCGGCCTGGTCTGCTTTGATTCCCAGCTCTGCGAGGCACGACATCCAACCCTCCAACTCATAAATGCGCGGGCCGCGTGCTCCCTCCAGCGGGGCAATATAAGGCTCAATGCGGTCTTGAGGTCTAGCCACCTGTCTCTTCCGACACCACCCTTCCACGCCCCTTTCGCCGCCGCACAAGTCCTATCTCTCCTCTCGCCTCGGAGCCCCCTAAGGGCTCCG